CGCTCTAAGTTAGGACTGCGCCTGGCAGAGCTGGATAAAGAGAAAGGAGAACTGAACACCCAGGTGATCATAGTAATGCATGCTAATGTCACATATGATAGTATGATTTGGGTGGTTTGGGTTTGCGACTGTGGTTTGGGTCTCAACAGTGATTAACCTGTGTTCCAGATGGAAATAGAGAAGAAGAAAGTTAAGAAAATTATGGAGCAGAAGAAGGCTGCAGACACTCGGCTGGATCTAGAGATGAAGAGAAACACAGAGCTTCAAAAAGAAATGTACAGGTGACTCCTAACCTCCTCCTCACCCCCTCCTCTCCTATGACAGTACCTCCTCCCACTGTTTAGATACAACTAGAATCCAGTAGAGTACAGTCTGTCCTGGCTTATGAGACCAGTGTGCATATCTCATGTAAGGATGTTTTTTCTTTTTTAAACAAATCTTCTCTGAATATATAACAAGTTACTGCAATCATTTTGTTTGTCTAGTGTTCTCTCTAGAGTATGCTCACTTAATTGTGTTTGTTTGCTGTACCTTATTTTGTTGTTTACTTATAGTATTTATGCATATGTGTTTAAGGCTGCGAACTCTATTGAAGACTGCAAAGAAGAAGCTGCGGGATCAGGATAGTGGGGGAGCTGAGTTTGGTTCTCCGATGAGCAGTCTACGGATGGACCTTGGCAGATACAGTCAGGTCGAGGGTTCCGCTGGACAAATGAAAGAAAAGGTTTGTCTCTTTGATACAGTGCTGCTATTTCACTGTAACCCCCCCCCAAAAATGTACCATTACTTTTAGCAGAGTTAGAAACTTTGTCCTTAGCAACCCCCTGAGCCCGTTTAAATGTAGCATCAAATGTTGGCCTCAGACATTTCCTCTGTGCTTCTTATGTAACCAGGTGGATGATCTGCAGGTGCAGAACAGGGAGCTTAAGGATCAGCTGGCCTCCCTGAAGAGCTTGAGTCACAGTAATAACCAGCTTGAGAGGAGTAAAAGACAGTTGGAGGAGGAAGTACTAGACCTGAGACGTCGAATGGAGTCCATTCAGATGGAGCAGAGCCAGGTGGAGCAGTACCGTCGTGATGCAGAGGAGAAGGCCCGTCAGGAGATACAACAGAAACTAGAGCAGGTCAACCTTTTCCTGCAGGTAACAATTCTAACCTAAGAATCCTAAGAAAACATTATGAATCTTTAAATACATAGAACTTATAAAATGCCTGTCACAAAGTAAACAGCATAAATAGAAATATGACAGCTATCATTATATAGACAGTTTTAGCTATAATAAATTTAAGTAAAAGAAGTAAGACTAAATCCATAACAAGAGACAAGATAAAAATATGTTTTATCTCAGTGTATACATAGTAAATAGTTGCTGTGGTAGTTATATTTGCATCTTCTGTAACTAACTAACACTAATTTCATATTATTATGTGTTTACATACAATACATACATACAATAATTATCATATTATGTGTTTACAGTCCCAGGCAGCATCTCAAGAGGCACTGGATCAGATTAAAGCAGCAAATGAGGCCAACCTGCGCTCTCAGCTGGAGCAGAAGAGCCGGGAGCTGGAGGTGGAACTGTGCCGGGCCCGCACCGCCCAGCAGGATAGCCTTAACCAAAGAGACTCCACACGCACAGAGCTAGAGCGATATATTCAACTCTACACTGACGAGCTGCGCCTCCGCAAATCTCTGGCTGCCAAACTAGAGAGGTCAGAATGTCACTGGCTGGTTATACATTACTAGTTCCACATGAGACTGTGCAAAACCAGTGCTTTAGCCTCATGTCTGAGAGCTGAAAAAATACTGCTAAGCTCTTTGAAATGTTATATCTTTGAACAAGTATTCTAGACAGCAGATCACAAATGGTGGAATATTTAGACAGGCAGTGGTAACTTGCTGTTTTCCATTCACAGAACCAACAGTCGGCTCGCAGAAGCAAATTCCAAATTGCTCAACGAGCACAGTAGATCTCTTATCGCCAGCAGCATCACAAATGGTAGCCTTGGAGGTCCCTCGCTGGACATGGGCACTTTGGGTTCACCAGTGAACTATGGGGCCACACTGGGGCCCCTCAACAGGAGTCTTGGCCTTGGACCCTCCCTCCTTAGTCCTGTGACTGAGGGACAAAACAGAAGGGTGGAGGACTATCTGGCTAAGGTCTGTACAGTCATTTGGAGTATTCTTCATGCAGAGAAGTTCATTTATTTCGAACCATCTTCATTGCCATTGCATCATGGTTGTCAGCTTTGTTTTTGTATATCTGGTGGTGTTGTGTTCAAAGATGTTGCTTTTTATACACAGGTTAGTCTTTTGTTTTATTGTCATAGCTGCATCTTTTGGCTTTTGAGATATTACACGCCTAATATTTCTGGCTGTGGAAAATCCTAATTAAAAGATAGAAGAAACTGCTCTCTAAATTGACTGAAGACTGTTCTTCTCCCTGGAAGAACACCTTCACATTGTTTAGTCTTCACTCTACCTCCGGTCCTTAAGGTGGTGGGACTTTACTTCTAACCTGTCTTCTATTTCTCGCACTTTTAGCTTCTAGCTCAAAAGTCTGTCTCTCACCTCTCCTCTCTTCAGCAAGACTCATAACCAGGTTTGTAGATGTGTTTAGTTCAGTGTCTGATTGGCTGCTCTCCCCTTCACCCAGCTGGTAGGCCTACTGTATGTCTATGGCTCTGCTGAGATGCAAACCGTGATGTTAAGGGTTCACACAGTGAACAGATGTTGTGGAATCGAAAGTTTTTTTGGGGATGACCAGCAAGGTTGCTGAAAAAAATATCTCCACTGTGGTTTCCCAGTGCTCCATTTAGAGGAATGTATTTATATACAAAATGTTTCTATTACAGGGGTTCACTTTATTTTAGAGCTATTTCCAGGTTCATCTTATGTGAATGGCCTACTTAATCAGTATTATACTTAGATATAATATAGGTTATAACTGAAATAAATTGTTGAAACTGACAAATCAAATCTTATCATAGTTTAGGTTTAACATCAGAAACTACAAAAATAAGTCAAAGTTGCAGAAAATATAAGTGAAAATTTCAAGACATCAATAGCTTTTCACTGAAATGCGTAGGAACCCTGTGTCTTGCATTGTGGAACTGACTGAAATCTCAGAACCTCCTCCTAGAATTTGTTGGCTCTCTCCATGTTCTCAAGTTCTACGGGGAGTAAAAGTTGTCTATTTATATCTTTATATACTTTTCTTCTTTGATAATTTGTCTGTTAAAAAGCCAGTTATAGCAGTGAAGTTAAGTACCACCAGTTGTATGGAGCATGCACTACTCTCATGTACATGCTTCATTTAAAATTAAACCAAGTTTATTTAGTCACACACCCCTTGGATGTCACAGAAAAACAGCCTACCAAAATCAAATGATGAAATCAGTGTCACAGTTGTTTGCCTAAAGCAACACAGTAGAGGTATAGAATAATGTTTATACCAACCACGCATAGATTCAACACCTAGAAAGATTTCTGTATTTTGGTTCCACCAGCCTCGTGTCTGACACTGTACCTGCGAGAATCTTGTTAGTAAAAGTAAAAAATAAATAAATAACACACACACACACACACAAAAACTCAGTTCAGCTACACAACAAACTGACAATGCATACAGAAAATGAAGCTCAAGTAAAGAAGTTAACAATTTAAACTGTTTGAATTCATTATTTATTACATATACAAATAAAAACAATATACAGTAATAATCTATAATAAGATGAAATAAGTAGCTGTGCCATCCTGTGCATACTATTTTTTACATTTAATTGTACATGTGTAGCTCAATACATACTGTTCTGGAGCAACTGCAGTTTTCAGCAAAATATATACTGGTTTTACATGTTACTTTTTTCCTCCTAATGTAAGACCCATTACTTTAAATGCATCTTGTTAGACTGTTTCATTTGTAGAGATGGCCAATGTGTGATCATACTAACAGGGTTTTTGCAACTTCTGGTAAGGAAGCATCAAATGGCCTGCAGAAGCTCTACACTAGAGCTTGCATGCTTGGCATGTCCTGTTGTCTTTCAAACAATAGCTCTGATTTTCTCGCAGTGTTTTTTCCTTTGTTCAAGTATTTGTCGTTAAATGTGTCACCATTTGCCACAGTGTCGAGTTTGGTGGCTCAGTTTTATCTCTGCATCTTTTTTTAAGTATTTGTTTTTCTAAAGTGTTATTTTACAGCTTTTTAGCTATTTGTTTCCAGAACATTAAAAGTCAAAATTTAACTACAACTTTCCCTTTTTCTCCAGATGCAGAGTGAGTTGGATAGAAACATATTAAAGGAATTAAACAACGGTGAGTGCACTGCAGCTAGAAACATGGCACCAATCCCATCCTGTTGTCTTTCAAACAATAGCTCTGATTTTCTGTGTTTTTTCCTTTGTTAAAGTATTTCTCATTGTCTCTGGTCCTCAGCCACAGCAGAGCTGAATGTTGCCTCTGCCCGCATGTCCCCAGTGGGCTCTGTATCAAGGGTGGAGCTGGACCCCGTCAGCAGGGCGACACAACAGTACTTGGAGGTACTAAAGAGGAACAGTATGATCTGACTAAACAGCTGCTCGTTCATAATCATAACTGAACATATTTCAGCCAACTGTCTTGTGTTAGGCCTATATGTAATGTTTTGTTGTGTATGGACCCCAGAAAGAGTATCTGCTACCCTGGTGGCAGCTACAATACAGATCACCAAGAGTCCAACTTTGTATGTCTTCACTTTTCAGTTTTATCTCTGCATCTTTTTTTAAATATTTGTTTTTCTAAAGTGCTATTTTACATCTTTTTAGCTGATATTTGTTTCCAGAACATTAGAAGTCAAAATTTAACTACAACTTTCCCTTTTTCTCCAGATGCAGAGTGAGTTGGATAGAAGCATATTAAAGGAATTAAACAGTGAGTGCACTACAGCTAGAAACATGGCACCAATCCCCCCTGTCTCATGAAGTCTTTTATGAAATAGATGGGAGCAATATATGACATGTAGCTGCTGCTTTATGGTGTGGTCTCTCTGGTCCTCAGCCACAGCAGAGCTGAATGTTTCCTCTGCCCGCATGTCCCCAGTGGGCTCTGTCTCAAGGGTGTAGCTGGACCCCGTTAGCAGGGCGACACAACAGTACTTGGAGGTACTAAAGAGGTACTATGTGTATGTATGTATATATGTGTGTGTGTGTGTGTGTGTGTGTGTGTGTGTGTGTGTGTGTGTGTATGTCTGTGTACACATACAAAATCTTATTTGCGCAGATTGGTGTTACTAAATTTTAATGTGTAGGTGTTTAATGTATGCATCATTAATTTTGCCAAGACATTACATTTGGTATGTGCCATCAAATGATGCAATGTCTGTCTTAATCTTACATTATTAGACTTATTGGAATATTCTGTTTCTGATTATTTTATTTATTCTTTACAGTCATGATATACTTGAATAAGACAAGCTAGAACACTCTCTAGCTACTGAAACAGGGTGAATGCATTTGTACGACTGCCATTTCAGCTGGCTTGCTTTTAGGACCACCAAAAGTGAGATACAGTACATGTTTTTTCTTTCTTTCTGTCTTGTCATTATTCATCAACACTGTAACAAAATCCATATAGGAAAATGTTTATGACGCTTGTACATTACAGAAGACTAAAGTTGTAAATAAAAGTGTAGAAAACCCTGAAGTTCAGTGAACTGTTGTTTAGACATTGAGTGGATGTGTGAAACAGAAGACCCAATAAAATAATCTGGGGTGAAGAAGTGATTGTACATCTAAAAGCAGCAGCAATAGAAGGTTTGTCTACCAGTGACAGAGCAGCAACATTAAATAAAACAGGCAAGTGATCAGGAAACCGGGAATCACATATTTCAGTAATGGAAACAGGCAGTCCATGAGAGATCACAAGGTCCAGTGGGTGTCCAAGGGCCATGCGCCGACTGAGATTACGAGTCAGTAATATTTAAAACGTCTTTGGACAGTGGATCATCAGGGCAACAGATGTGAATGTTAAAATCACCAAGTATTAAAAGTTTGTCAAACTTTGGCAGGATAGAACCCAAGAGGTCAGAAAACTCCTGAATAAAACACCAGTGGATAAGGGGGGGAATACTTGTTACGTACTTGTTGGATGTTACGTCAACGGGGGGGAATACTTGTATTTAACATCTCGAACGGGTAAGTATAATTTTATTTGCTTTAATTACATTTTATATAGTAGTCATGAACCAATCATCTGTGCCTTAGTTTTTTAAAAACCGAGCTACAACTCCTCTGGTCTTCTATTCATCTTTCAGAGTGAGGAGGGAGGAAGTGATGGAGGGCAGGATGAAGTGTAAAACCTTTTATGTATGTAGTAAATATCAGATTATCTAATGCTGTTAACGGTTTCATGTAGTCATCGGTTCCCACTTCATCTAAATTTCTAAATATTCAATTTTGTCTTATATTAGTTTCTTTTCAGGAGTATGGAGAGAGGAGAAACCAAAAAGTGATATGAATAGAGGAGAAAACGGAACGGAAATAAGCAGATGGCAGAGAAGAGAAGATGGGAGGCGTAATGACATATGAATATTTGGAAATGGTCAGTATAATTTTATTTGCTTTAAAAATTTTGTTGTACCGGTCCGGTACAGGCCCCCGCTGGCGGGCTCGGGAACCTATGTGAGGGGCGACCCCCCCCTCACATGTGTATCTCATAGCAACAAGTGCTGCAGAGAAAATTCGATGTGACATAGTGTGCCTCGGGCAGAGCTGTTTTGGGATCCGGGTCACGGCACCATTGAAAGATATTTCCCAGTTACTCTTAACCAGTGAAACTCAGGGAGACGAGGCGGTCCAAGTGGATACAAAAAACCGTGCTGGTTTATTCAAAGGATCACAGGTAAAATTAACATCACACGCTCAGGTATCCTTCACCTCCAATACTGCGCGCAGGCAGATGAAGAATGAAAGACCCCGAACCCAACAGGCCTGTACATTATATCTGGTTTGGGCTAACCCCATTCTACACAGGGACGTCAAACCGTGGCGTCACCTGATATGCCAGCTTCACAGCTGACCGTAGCAGTAGTCAAAACATGGAGACAATCGATGTGTGTGAGTGTTGATTAAGTGGTGTGTATCTAAGAACATACAGGACATTCAGGGACATATCCGGACATTAAGCCTAGGAAGATATTATGATTAAGATTACGGCTGAACATATCATACAGTAGCCACTTTCTATCTGGTTATCCCTGAATATAAACTGAGAAAACATAACTCATTGTTCAGAGAACGGATTTCCTGCGGGAGCTCTGTCTGTCGGATCCCAGTGCTGTAAGACTTCACCTGTGTCCAGACTTTGAGTAAACTTCCTGTTGATTTTAAACAGTCCTCTTCTGTCTTCACTTTTCGCGCTTTCAATAAAAGAACTTGGGTAAAATCTAACAATAATAAAGAAATGACATTCAAACACTCATCACTAAAGATATCAGCAGAGGAAAATAAAAGAAAACTGACAAACTTTGTGTGTGTAACAAGACCAATCAGGTGTTAATATTAACGTTACCTGGGCATGTGCTTTGCATTATAAGAAACCAACACAACTTTGTGCCCCTCCAATAGAGTGTTCTCGTTTATCTTCATGGTGCCAAACCAGACACAAATACCATTAGGACGGATTATAACAATAAGCTAAATTCAACCCTTGTACGTCCCATTAATATATTATAACAGCTTGATACCGAATCACATGATGGAGACCATTCTGCCCACAGATGTATTAAGGGGAAACGGTAGATTTTTCAATGTCTGTATTATGAGAATGCCATAACGTTACATTCATTTATTCTATTTAGAATGAAAGTAAAAATTAAAACACCTTTCATCTAGACACGCTATTAGGAGATGGAAATTGCCTCAAGGCGTTTTACAAACAATGAACACATTTATTAGCACTTTTATTTTATTTCAGAATCTGTGTGTATGTACATGCACATGTGTGTTTATGGATCTGGTCTTGTTTGGTTGCTTAAATGTATCTGCCCAGTCTGTGCCACAGCTTCACCGGCTCCTGTGGAGTGTTGACCATGTCCGTGCTGTGCTGATGTAGCTGAGCGCCTCTGGCGTACACAAAGGGCCCTGACACCAGCACTCCCAGTAGGACTAGAGGCTCTGGGAGAAAGATATATGAATGTCACTGTGTCAGTGTTTTGTATCAGCAATATGTATTTGCAGCAATATTAGTGTCCTGTCCCCCCTTGAAGGTGAAGCTAATTTTATTTTTTATATAGCGTGTGAAGCGTGTTCTTTA